ACAGACAAGTTTGTCTTGCTGTTGGAGACCTCTTGTATCACCCCCACCTGGGTCCCTGTGGCTGACTGTACCTCTGTCTGGATTCCTGGCTTTTAATCCCCTTTCTCCTACTCTTCTACCCTGCTGTTTTGTGCATCCCTGAGTTGTCCCTGGGGTCTGACTGCTCCTGTGTCTGGGTTCCTGGCTTTTATCCCCTTTCTCCTGCTCTCTGGTCCTGCTGCTTTGGGCAGGCCTGAGTGTCCTTTCCTCACCTAATCCCTTCAGCTGATTGCTCTTCTCTCTGGCTTCCTGGCTTTTAATTCCCTTTCTCCTGCTCTTCCGGCCTGCTGCTTTGGGCGTCCCTGAGTTGTCTCTCCTCACCTTTAACCCTGGGGCTGACTGCTCTTCTGTCTAGATTCCTGGCTTTTATCCCCTTTCTCCTGCTCTTTGGGCCTGCTACTCTGGGCGGGCCTAAGTTTGTCTCCTCACCTAATCCCTTCGGCTGACTGCTCTTCTCTCTGGCTTCCTGGCTTTTAATCCCCTTTCTCCTGCTCTTCCCACCTACTACTTTGGGCATCCCTGAGTTGTCTCTCCTCACCTGTAACCCTGGGGCTGACTGCTCTTCCCTACATGAATGGGATCTTCTAAAAATTAAATTTTTATGTGCTTCCAAAGACTTCTCCAAAACAGTCAAAAGATAAATCTACAGATTTGGAAAAAATATTTCTAAATGACATAGCTGACAAGGGACTTATCTCTAGAATTTATAGAAAACTCCAACACCTCAATAACAAAAAGACAAATAATCCAATTAAACAATGGGCAGAGGATATGAATAGACACTTCACCAAGGAGGATATTCAGGAGGCCAACAAACATATGAAGAAATGTTCATGATCATTAGCCATTAGAGAGATGCAATTCAAAACCACAATGAGATACCATCTTGCCCGAGCACTAGCACCAAAGTTCAACAGGACAGAAAATAACAAATGCTGGTGAGGATGCGGAGAGATTGGGACTTTCATACACCACTGGTGGGACTGTAAAATCGTACAACCACTGTATAAAGCAGTATGGCAATTCCTTAAAAAGATGGAATTAGAAATACCATTTGATCCAGCCATTCCATTACTAGGTATATATCCAAAAGAAGTGAGAGCCATGAGAAGAACAGACATATGCACACCCATGTTCATTGCAGCACCATTTACAATAGCAAAAAATGGAACAACCTATGTGTCCATAAGCTGAGGAATGGATAACCAAACTATGGTACATACACACAATGGAATACTATGCAACCCTGAACAATAACATAAAATCTGCAAAAAAACACATAATGTAGATGAACTTGGAGGACATTATACTGAGTGAAGTAAGTCAATCACAGAAGGACAAATATTGTATTAGGCCGTTATTGTAAAAGTCAAGGAAAGGTTTATATATGGAAGGAAATTTTCTTCGTTGCTTACCAACGGTGGGAGGGAAGGGGAGGGAACGCTATTAGCTAGGTAGAGATAAGTACTGATTTTGGTGAAGAGAAGGGCAATGTACCAAATGTGAGTGATCGACATGGTGGCAGTGAGGAAGAAGAAGACATAAAGAGGTACATGGGAGGTACAGACAACAAAGATGAACCCTTTTGCACATACAGCACTGCGTTGTCAGTGAAGGCAAACATGGGTATATGGGTAGATAGATGGGTGGACAGGCTGAACCATTAGGTATGTCTATGCAGAGGGGCGGCTCAAACCCACCAGCCCCTCCTTGGAAGGAAGGTTGGACAATCTATTTCCGTAGTGATACTGCCTCAGAAACCAAAGGAGGGGTCCCTATGAGTCGGGGCCGACTCCATGGCACATAACAACAACAACAACATGCAGAGGGGAGTGTACCCAAGACCATGTGTATAGGGTTGGCAGACAATGGTTCTACAAGTGAATTTGTATGTTCTGTAAGAATTCCCAGGTATAAATAGTAGAGCTGACAAGAGACAAAGTTGTAGTCATTTCTTGGTCACAGCCAGCTACCTAGAGGGAATGACTAGTTGAACCTGTGGGCTTGGGACCACAGTTGCAGGGGACATCAAGCTCAATTGGCATAACATACTATACAAAACATTGTTCCACCTCCTACTTTGGCGAGTAGTGACTGGGATCTTAAAAACTTACAAGCAGCCATCTAGATGCAGCGATGGGTCTCTCCTCATCCAGAGCAAAGAAGTATGAAGAAAACCAAAGATTCATGGAAACAGTTAGTCCTAATAACTGGTACACCATGAGATCCTCAGCCTATAAGACTATGAGACCAGAAGAACTAGATGGTGCCCAGCTACCACTGTCAACCACTCGGAGAGGGATCTACATAGGGGATCCTGGATAAAGAGGGAGAACAATGTAGAACAAAACTCAAAATCATTTGGGAAAAAAAAATAAGGTTTGCTACTCTGATAGAGCCTGGTGGAACCACTGAGACTATGGCTCCTAGCTGCCGTTCAGTTCTGGAATTGAACTCACACCTGTGGCTTCCAGCCAAACAAAAGACAGGCATATGAGTTGAACATGTATCTGAGGTAGATACACTCCTTGGAGAGAACAATTATGGGAGAACAGAAGGGCTGTGTATGCACAGGGAGACAGCTCAGGGGGCAGCTGTGCATGGAGGGATGGAATTGAGACAAAAAAAAATTAAATTTAAAATATGCTTTTGAGAAATGGTCTAATTTATTATACAGGAATTTACAATATATTGTTGTTGTTGTTTTTGTTAGGTACCATCATGCTGGTTCTGATTCAGTGACCCCATGTACAACAGAACAAAGCATTGCCTGGTCCTGCACCATCCTCACAATTGTTGCTATGTTTGAGTCCACTGTTGCAACCACTGTGCTAACTCATCTCATTGAGGGTCTTCATTTTAATCACTGACCTGCTAATTTACCAAGCATGACACCCTTCTTCAAGGATTGCTCCATTCTGATAACATGTCCCAAGTATGTGAGATAAAGCCTTGCCATGTGTGCTTCTCAGAAGCATTCTGGCTCTACTTTTTCCAAGACTGATTTGTATGTTCTTCTGCAGTCCATCGTATATTCAATATTCTTTACCAACACCATAATTCAAATGCATCAATTCTTCAGTCTTCCTTATTCATTTCATGATATACAGTACTATCAAACTTACTTTTAAAAGTTTCTTTAATGTATTTATAAAGCTGTATGTTACTGAGAAAAAGACTAGACTATATCACCAATATGATCAGATCAACTTACTTTTGCTGTAACTTGAGGAACTTTCCTTCCTACTCAGCTTAAGATACAGTTTGCTTTTAGGTTCATTATAAAATTCAGGATTTACAGTAGTAAACTTCTTTAGTTTGCCATATTGTTTTCCCTGGAAATCACATCCTTTTCTACAAAAGAAAATTTAAAAAAATAATAAATTTAAGTATTAAGGTATTGGTTTTTTAAAGTACAGTTTGAAAAGAACACAGTATTTGTATGTTTATATATTTTAGTACATGTACACAAAATATAAATAGACTCTGCTAAATAAAATAGTAGCAATATTCACAGAAATGTCATCAGTTTTAAAAGATTACTCACTGCTGTTGAGTCAGATCCAACTCATAGCAACCCCTCCTTAGGTTTCTCAGGTGGTATCACTATGGAAGTACGTTGCCCAACCTTCCTTCTGAGGAGTGGCTGGTGGGTTTGAAATGCCAGCCTTCTGGTTAGCAGTCAAATGCATTAGGTACTACGCTACCAGAGCTCCCAAAAGAGATTGGGAGAGGCACATATCTAAATGATTGGGTACCTCAACCAAAGATGGATGAAAACAATTAGTCCAAAAGAGCAGTGGACCATGCAAACATCAGCCTATATGACTATGAAACCAGTGCCTGGCTACTACTGCTAACCACTCGGAAAGGGATCAGTATAGGAGGACATCCTGGATAGAGTGGAAGAAAAATGTGGAACAAAACTCAAAATCATAAAAAGACCAGGCTTACTGATATTGATAGAGAATGGTAAAATCCCCGAGACTATGGCCACTGGTCACCCTTTGGGCCTGGAAGTGAACTCACTTCTGTGGGTTCCAGCCAAACAACTGACAGGCATATAATGTGAATATTCACACCGGGTAGGCATACTCCTTAGAACAGTCAATTATGGGAGATCAGAAGGGCAGTATTTGCACTGGGATATAACTCAAAGGGCAGGGATGCATAGGAAAGGACACAGGGAAAAGGTAACTACAGGGAGGTAACTACAGGGAGGAAGTGGGAAAAGAGCTGTTACATTATGGGGATTGAAATCAATGTCATGAAAAAAATGTGTATGAACTACTGTATGGAAAATGAATTTGCTCTGTACACTTTCACCCAAATCACAATTAAAAAAAAAAAGATTGGGTACCTCAGTTTCTCCAACTATAAAATGGGCATAACTCATTCTATTATCACATCATACAGAGTTACTATTATGATTAAAATTAAATAATACATGTAAAATACTTAGAAGAGTATCTGGCAATCAAGAAGTGCTATTATTATTAAATTACCATGCAAATGATCATTATACTTAATATTTGGGTAATTCTAATTCTACAACATAATTATTTCCAAAAAGCAGTGTTCTATTACAGTATAAACTATGTAGCTCTGGCCTGTGAATGACTGCTTACCTATTATTCTACACCACTAAGTTATTCCTGTGGCTTGCTGCATAAGGTTTTCCTTAAGATTGTGAAAGAATTGCACTGACTATATATAAAAATGTTTAGAAAAATAACAAATATGCAAATATTTTTATGCAATATTGTTGATCTTGCTTACATGTTTACAAAAAACCAAACTCACTGCCGTTGAGTTGATTCGACTCATAGCAACCCTTCCTTGGGTTTCTGAGGCAGTATCTCTATAGAAGTAGACTGCCCAGTCTTCCTTCTGAGGAATGGCTGGTGGGTTTGAGCCACCAGGCTTCTGATTAGCAGCCAAATGCCTTAGGCACTACGCCACCAGAGTTTAGAGGGGGCCAGAAACAGATTTAAATAGTCCTTTGTAAGATTGTGGATAGAACTGCACTGAGATTAGGCCCAAACTGATCTAATTGTAGGCAATTATTTGGTATCATAAAACATACCTCACCAAAAGTTGGCATTCCTCGTAGAGTGGTATCTTTTGACTTCTTAAATATAAGCCAATACTCTTTATATCACTTAAAACCATGCTGGGTCGATATTCTGCCTGTGTCAATCCTGGAGACACTTCTTCAAGCCACTTGAAAAATTTACATCGGTCAGCTTTGGGTCCATCACATGTGTAGAACAGACGACCCTAACAGGAAAAAAAAACATATTAAAATTTAGTGAGAAAAATGTTTTCATTTTCCTACTGCTTTGTATTACGTCTGTCAAGATTTTTATAAATATAGCTTGGCGTTTACGTACTCTAGTAAATTAGTTACCATATACCTTACTTTATTATTAATTTAAACAATAAAATAAAATTTAAGGCACTGACTTTTCTATTTTCTTTTAAATGTTTTTAAGAGAAAATTTGAAAGATAGCATTTATTGTTTTTCTGGCTAAAGCTGTTCATTATAGACAAACTTAGGAATAACTAAGCAGCATCTTATTTCTTTCCAGCCTTTTTTCTCACAAAAGTACACACACACATACATGAGGGGATACAGATGTGTATGTTGTTTTCTTTTTTAAAAAACTCAGATAATGATACATTTTCTACTCTGCAACCTCACCCTTATACCTAACAATAAATTGTGAGCATTTATTGAACAGAAATTCTGTGTGCTATGAGCAGTAACTCCTACTTTCGCCCTCCCTCCCACCGCTAGTAATGACTAATAAACTTTGGTCTCTGTACATTTGCGTGCTCTTGTCTTTTCATATAAGTGAAGTCATACAACATTTGTTTTCTGATTGACTTATTTCACTCAGCATAATGTCCTCAAGTTCCATTCATATTGTAACATGTATCAGGACTTCATTTCTACTTTCTGACCAGTAGTATTCCATTGTATGTATAAACCACATTGAAGGTTGATCTTAACTCATATTTCTATATCCTAGAACAGATCTATCATTCTTGCAATAAAAATTTATTCAGATTTTACTATACATTAAGTACTAATGCCTCAAAGAGAAAGGTCTAAATCAAGACTCATTCTTTAGGGAAGCTAGATCAATGGAAGCAGAACAAACAGAATGGAAATAATAAGAATGCTGATGTACTGTGAAAACTGCAAACAATGTCATGGAACAATTTGTATAAAAATTGTTAAATGGAAACCTAATTTGGTGTGTAAACTTTTAACTAAAACACAGTAAAATATTATCAAAAAAAGGACTCATCTTTATCATAAAGCAACAGGTACTTAAATTTTTATAAGACAAGTATTTGGTGAGGTGGAGGGAGGGCAAAGGGAACAATACCTTATTTGGGCCTTCTTTTTTAACCATGACAAGTTTTGCAGGTTGATGATGATGGCAGGATGGCACATTATTTTCTACATTTTTTTGTTTTTCTCCTTTTGAAGATGTGTAAAATGATATATCAATGTTTGAAAGAGCTTTGTATAATTTTTGTGACAATGTAAACAGCAATATATTTAGATGTTCTACAAAAAAAAAATTAAAATTAAATAGAAACATTTCACGCTTGAATCGTATATGTGTTGTTTGTTAACTAAATTTGAAAACAGCCTTTTGACAGAGTCATCTATTAACATACTAATGTTCACTTTTGAAAAGTTTGAATGGAAACTGATTGCTTAAAGGATATAGACTTTTTGGGGGAGAGAGTTATGAATTGTGTCCCCCAAAATGATGTCTTTCCTGGTGACACAGTGGTTAAGTACTCAGTAGGAGTAAGAAATGGCAGTCTGCTTCCATAAAGATTTTCAGTCTTGGAAACCTTAGAGGACAATTCTACTTTGTTCCATAGGATTGCTATGAGTCACAAGTGACTCGATGGCAATGAGTATAGTTTAATTGGTTATGAATTGAACTGTGTCCCCAAAAAAGACATGTTAGAGTCCTAATCCCTGTACTTATAAATGTGACCTTCTTTGGGGAAATAGAGTTTTCTTTGAAGACATTCCCAATTAAGTCATACCAGACTAAGGTGAGCCCTAGTTCTAATCCTTTCTGAGAGATACAAAAGGGAAGAACAGATATGAAGAGAGAGTCCCACACACAGGGGGAAGGTATCATGTGACAAAGAGACAAATGTATCAGTAATCAGCAAAGTAATGCCAAGGATTGTCAGCAGCCACCAGAAACGAGTAGAAAGTCCTCTCTCAAAGCCCACAGAAGGAAACAGCATGTCCAATACTCTGGCTTGGACTTTTAGGCTCCAGAATTGTGAGAAAATAATTTCTATTCTTTAAAGCTACCCACTTGTTGTATTTTGTTATGGCAGCCTAAGGAAACTAAGGTGATAAAAATGTTTTAGAACTAGGTAGAGGTGATGGCTGCATAACAATGTGAATGTAATAAATATCACTGAATTGTACACTTTGAAATGGTTATGTTATATGAATTTCACCCAATGAAAAACAAAATATACCAAAAGAAAATCATTTATCATATATAAAATTTTCCACTTAACTAAGTCATTTGTAACACTTTTAATTTTAAAAATATAATTTAAAAAAAATGTAACTTTAAAAATTATCATTTCCCATTTTTTAGCAATGTACCAAATATGAGCGATCAACATGGTAGCACTGAGGAAGAGGAAGGCATAGAGAGGTACATGGGAGGTACAGACAACAAAGGCAAACATGGCTATATGGGTGGACAGATGGATGGATAGGCTCAACTATTAGGTATGTCTATACAGGGGGGAGTGTACCCAAGACCATGTATAGGGTTGGCAGACAATGGTTCTACAAGTGTATTTGTATGTTCTGTAAGAATTCCCAGGCATATAGTACAGCTGACAAGGGACAAGGTTGTAGTCACTTCTTGGTCACAGCCAGCTACCCAGAGGGACTGAGTAGTTGAACCTGTGGGCTTGGGACCATAGTCACAGGGGCCACCAGGCTTAACTGGCATAACATACTACACAAAACATAGTTTCACCTCCTACTTTGGCAAGTAGTGGCTAGAATCTTAAAAGCTTGCAAGCAGCCATGTAGATGCAACAATGGGTCTCACCTCATCCAGAGCACAGAAGAATAAAGAAAACCAAAGATTCATGGAAACAATTAATCCTATGGTACACTATGCGATCCACAGCCTATGTGACTATGAGACCAGAAGAACTAGATGGTGCCTGGCTACCACTGTCAACCACTCAGAGGGGGATC